AAACAACTGCAAAAGCATCCCTATGACTCCAAGGGTGACACACACACGCACACGCGCACGCACACGCACACGCCGCGTGGGCGGGCCCAAAACTGAGGGGCAGACTAACGTGCACGTGCGCGCGCAAAAGGGACAAAAAGACGAAGACGTGAAAAGGAGACGCGACAAGACCAATGTGTGAGCGGTTGCGATGAAGGGGAAACCAAACGCACAGGGACAACCAGTGAACCATACCTCATTACCAAGACCTGGGCGACCCGAAACCTGGGTTGAATGTAACAGTGCGCGTGCGTGCTAAGGGCCGGACTGGTGTGCGCGCAAATGAAGGAACGGAGTGAGAGCTCCTACGCTTGCTGTGAGCTACTCTGCTCTCCGATCGGGAGAATCCCGGTCGCTAGTCATTAGGTAGTTGTTAGTAGGCCAAAGGTTCAAAATCCAGGACGAAATAATGACGACGAGCGCTCAGCTGAATGCATTGGCCCTTTGTTGGAAGGGTGGAGTAAAAGCTTGAGAACATCACAACAGGGCAGGTTGCGTCGCGGTGATCAGCTGTGATATCCGCATGTACTGTGGCCACTTCATTGAACCATCGCTCACAGCGCATGGATGGCCTCCCTGTGACTCCAAGGATTTCACGCGCACACACACACATGGCCACGGGCATTTGGCCGGCAGGGAGACCTTGCAGCAGCACAAGCGCACAGGTTCCATAGCACGCGCTGCCATAGATAGATGAGCGCATTTTTTTCGCGGTGATATGTGATTCCCTGAAGGCGTCGCTGTTGAGATGATATTCTGATAACCCAAACTTCAAGTAATTAGATGCGCGCGTGTGCAGTCATTGTGCAGCTGCTATGCGTCGGCAGCCTCCAAGCGCGGGGCAGGCGTTTGGCTGGCATCTCGCAGCGGCGCCCTGCAGCAGCACCGGCTCCAAATCGCAAGCTGTGATAGACATACGGACGAAAGTTTTTTCGCGGCGAGATGTGCTTCCTTACGGCTTGACGGCGTCACGTTTCAGATGATAGGCGCCAATCCGAACTGCAGGAAAACGCGTGCTTTTGCAGTCCTCTGGCAACTGGCATCAGCGCCCTGCAGCGGCAGCCTCTGGAGGCACGACCATCCAAGCTCCAAAACTCACACTGCCATAGACATCTGGCAGCCTGCAGCCGCACCAGCGCCCAAACTCCAAAGCGCGTGGCGCAGCCATACACCTTGCAGCAGCGCCCTGCAGCAGCACTAGCATCCAGGCTCCAAAGTGCACACGAGCGGCATCTTGCTGGCGCCAGCGCCCAGGCTTCAAACTGCAGGAAGAACCCAAATAACTCTCGCCATTTGGGGCAAAAACCGTTCCAGGCAAACAGATAGATCAATCGATGCGTCCATGCATCCATGCATGCTTCCATCCATCCTTCTATCCGTCCATCCATCCATGCGTGCGTTCACCCATCCATCTACCTATATATCCATCCATCCATCCATTTACGATGGCCCTTTCGAATTTTTGACAGTGCCTGCAAATGATTCGACAAAGTCACGCAAACACACCTCGCCCTGCGAGGACGACATGAAACAACATGGAGAGCAGACATGGTGCCACGTGGTGCAGACATGGTGACATGTTGAGGCGAGTGCCGCAGACTGAGAATGACACCAACACAGAGCGATTCAGGCCAGAAATTTTCCTTCACTTTGACCCTCGAGTTTCTAGCTTGCTCAACGCCAGGCGGCTTTGCCTCATGGATGACGCTGTTTTGTATGAAGACGAGTTGCTACAGGCAAAACACGCACCAAAAATATGACTTGGGGCATGTGGTTCTTGATTTTTGTCGTACGCTTCAGATTGGTGTCAAAGCCGAATACAGCGGTCTTGAAGGTGTGTGCCTCTGGGAGCGCGCTGCGCAACTAGCTGATCAAATCAATCAATTCGCAAGTCTGTCCGGAAACGAGGTCAGGTGGCGGTGTTCTATGGCAACAAAGGCTTGAGTATTCTTTAGCATATGGGGTGCCGCATGCTGACGCCTTGCGTGTGTTTGCAAGGGGGTTTTGCATATTTTCCTCGGCAACTGGTTTCTTCAGGCAATGCAGCATTGCAGAGCTTCGTAGCCCAATATTTGGTTCGCGAGGATTGCGTGTTGCGCCGTAGATAAGTGCTTTCTGTTCAATTAACTTGCGTTGGTGAATGTTTGGTGTTGCCAATCAGGAGCACGCATTGAAAGTGGTGGCGTCCCCTCTCAATCAGCATTTGGAAGCAGACCAGCAAATTGTGTCAGGAGCTTGCAAGTTCTATATCACTTCAGTTGCTGATGATTTCTTTTCAAACAGTCTTGGCAAGTTCACAACCGTCGCAGCTCACAATTGTTTGGCTCTTGCCTTTGGGTCCTGCCAATGTGTTGAAACGAAGGAACGTCAGAACATGTGTTGCTTCAGGATTTCCGCACGATTTGCCTTGCAGGTTATCCTTGACTAAGACTAAAGAATGCACCGTGACACGACATCCTCAAGATGTAAGACTTTGTTTGATGCAGGGGCATTGTCATCACACTGAGGCAGCGTTTGCAGGTTACAATGCTTGAGCCATTTGGAGAACCTCCCTGGCTGCGGCTTCAATTTCTGTTGTACCTTTGCCCAGTTTGCATCGGTCATGGGGCGTCAAACTTTTCCACAGACAGAATCCGAACATTTCAGCATGTGCAGTGTACTTTTGAATTCTGCCAGGCCGGATGCAAGTCCAAGAAGGCCAAGCAACATTTGGAATTGATTTTGTTGATTCTACGCAAGACGGATTTTCCGTCAAATTGCACAGAAGACACTCTATTTAATTACACATTACACATTACAAAAACAAGGCGAAGGGAACCAACAACGACAGACACTGGATGATTCCAGACGGGCAGTAGCGGCAGTAGCTTGCCTACACTATATATATATATATATCCAGATGTGAATTGCGCTCCATGCAATCATGTCAGGCCGTTCGAACCGTCGCGAACCCGCTCGCCTCAAGCAGGGTGGGTCGCGCTACTTGGAGCGCTGGTTGCGAAAAGGCCGGCTTTGCGCGCGGCTTCCCTTTCGTCGAGTCGGAACCTCGTGCGTCCGCACTTCTTGATACGCTAGCATTTGCATGGTAGCGGAGCTCTGACCTAACCGGGTCATCTCCAGGCACCTTTTGCCACGCAACACCACAGCAACAGCATCACACCTCACCACAAACCACAACAAACTGCTCCATCGGGTCGACAGGCCCTGGCACCCAGGACAACATGTCCACTGCCCAGGCCTCCGCAAGCCTGGATACAAACAGCTTGAGGGATAACTTCATTCCCCAGTTCGATGGCCAACCCCAACAATCATATGTTGAGTGGAGAAAGCGCATCTTTTTCTACTACCTCAAGATGAAGCTCCAGAAACGAACTGGAGAATGCTGCCTCAACCTGATCGGAAGTTTGCAAGGAGCAGCGTGGAAAGTGGTGGAGGACTTCGAGAAAGAAACCGCCTCTGACACCATCCTTGAGCTCCTAGACAAGGCATTCTCCTACGACAATAGGGTACAGATGCCACAAGACTTCGAGAACTTCTTTACTCATGGAGTCAGGAAGCCAGGCGCCACCATGTTGCAGTTGTTCTGCGCCGAGTTCGATGAGAAGTTCCGCAAGGTGCAGGCCCATGGTGTCAAGCTGCCATCACAGGTCCTTGGATGGTTCCTCCTCAAAAAGGCCAACGTCGCCAAGGAACAGCGCCAGATGATTCTCACACAAGCTCCTGGACTAGAGCGCAACGAAGTGCAGGAGGCGCTGTACCTGATCCTTGGACAAGGCCGCTGTCATCACAGACAAGCGACCGTTTGGCCGTGGCAAAGGGCAACGCGCCTATGTGCTAAGCCGTCAAGGCGCGAGCCGTGAGCTTAAGGAGCCCCACGCGTCCGGAAACATGGTAAAATGGTAAAAGGGTAAAACCTAGTTCCTTTATGTTCCTTTTGAATAAACCTCTACCTGGTCAATATCAGTAAAACGGCAAAACGGTAAAACGGTAAAATGGTAAAATGGTAAAATATTTTACCGTTTTACGGTTTTACCGTTTTACCACCTGCTCTACTGCTATGCTAGTACTACTACTTCCCCAACAACAACAACTGCTACTACTACGACGACGAGAGCTACTACTAATATTTTTAGTACTACTCAATACTACTACACTTCCTACTTCCTACTTACTACTTACTCTTCGCTACTCACTACTACTACTACTACTGCTACTGCTACTACTACTACAACTACTACTACTACTACTACTACTACTACCACTTCAACAACAACTACTACTACTCCTACTAGCACTTCTAGTCCTACAACTCTTACTCCTACTCCCTCCTACCCACTCCTCTTCCTCCTATTACTACTACTACTGCTATTGCTACTGCTACTCCTACTACTACTACTACTGCTACTACCCCTTCTCCTGCTTGTGCTGCTGCTGCTGCTGCTGCTAGTGCTGCTGCTGCTATTGCTACTGCTATTGTTACTGCATGCACTTGCTGCGGGCCATGCCGTGACTACTACTGCTATTGGTACTGCTACTCCTATTACTACTACTACTACTGCTGCTGCTGCTGCTGCTCCTGCTGCTGCTGCTGCTACTACCCCTTCTCCTGCTTGTGCTGCTGCTGCTGCTTGTGCTGCTGCTGCTATTGCTACTTGCTGCGGGCCATGCCATGTCTTTGGGTACAGTTGGATGTCCGAAGCTCTACTACTACTACTACTGCTACTACTACTTTTTTGCAGGTACGACGCGGAGGACAACGTGGACAAGCTCTTTTTGGACAAGAGTTTCCAGGTGCGCGGTGTGTGTCTGTGTGTGTGCTTCCTACTGCTACTACTAGTCCTACTACTAGTACTACTACTACTACCACTACTTCCACTACTACTACTACTACTACTACTACCCCTTCTGCTTGTGCTGCTGCTGCTGCTGCTGCTCCTAGTGCTACTGCTATTGTTACGGCGGCTGCTACTGCTACCTACTGCTACGCCTACTCCTATTCCTATTCCTATTCCTAGTCCTCGTCATTACAACAACAACAACTACTATTACTACTACTACTACTGCTACTACCCCTTCTGCTTGTGCTGCTGCTGCTGCTGCTAGTGCTACTGCGGCTGCTACTGCTACCTACTGCTACCCCTTCTCCTATTCCTATTCCTATTCCTAGTCCTCGTCATTACAACAACAACAACAACTTCTGCTACTACTACTACTACTACTACTACTAGTACTACTACTACTACTACTACTGCCGCTGCTGCTGCTGCTACTATTATGGTTACTTGTGCTACTACTAAAGCCAACACTACTACCACTACTACTCACTACTACTCTTATAACTCCTGCTGCTCTACTACTGTTTTCTATTACCACTACTGCTACTACTACTACTACTACTGCTTCTACTACTACTACTACTACTACAATGCCCACTACTTCTACGACTATTGGTGCTATTGCTATTGTTGCTTCGCTACTACTACTTTTCCTGCTGCTACTACCAGTACCGGTCAACCTGTTTCCGGACGCGAAATGGGTGCAGAGAACGCGCCCAAGAAAGCTATTTGTAGGAACGAGTCCAAGAATCACGGCTTACGCAACAGCTTAATGTATACGAGCCTGCAGACAACATGTCCAAGAAACATGATCCATAAACATGATCCAGACAACGTGTCCATCCAAGACAGGATACTATTTTTTCGACGAGATTGTTAGCTTAATCCGACGGTGCTGCTTTGTCATCCGATGGTGCTGCTTTGTCATCTGTGGATGCGCTGGATGTCCCGCCCCCAGAGAGCAGATTCAATGAATAGCTGGACAATGCTTTCACATGTGCAGGCTCTGTTTATTTTGGCATTCTTGGCTATCTCGCATACAGTTACATGGTGGCGCAAACCACTCTCAGGTTGTAATGTTATCTTCTTGATGTGTTTGCTGCTGATCAATACTGTCTTCTTTGATGATGATCTACCACGTCCAGACTGCATGTTGCTACAAGCCTCGAGTTGTTTTGGGCCAGACATGTTGGTTTGTTTGAGGCTGTTTTGCTGCACGCACGGGATCGCGGCCTCCCCAGGCGAACTAGACCGTTTGCGGTCGTGCAGGGTTTTCGTGTCAGCGTGCATGGTCTGAAATTTTGCAACGAAGAGATTTTGAGATGTGATATAGAGAAATGTTGGCATGATGCTCGGTGGAAATGTAATGTCGGATGCTGTGACAATGACAGACGTGAACGTTGTGGCTCAGAGCAGCTGACATAGCTGGGCTGCTCAGCATGGCGGCTGAATCGCCGCCGCATGCTTCCGCGGCTGAGTGCCTCAGCCAATCCCAGGTGACCCCCGAGAAAGGGGACCAGCTTTTGGACAGCGTCGAAGTTGCTGCCAACGAGGATTACGCCAACCTCGTGCAAGCCATAGTGCTCGGTCTGCATTGAAATTCTTTTTTCCAGACATTGGGAACACATTCGCATTTCATTCCACGCATGTGTCGCGTTCCTGTACCAGTTCTTGTTTCAAACAGAAATGTGATTGGCAACATTGAGAATGCAAAGGCCACAGCCTCCTGATAGTACCAAATGGATCTGAACTTTACCAAGGAGACTTCCACAGATCCTGGTGTTGATGCCATAGATGGCGTCTTGCAGACGGCGCTCACTGCTTGGGGCAAAGTCAGGAGCAATTCTGACGCTACTGATGCAGCATCCCTGATGAAGCTTCTGGACGATGCTACCGCTGCTGAAGCTGATGCCTGGCGCGAGCAGATGGCCCGGAGTTTGTACAACTCAGAGGCAGGAATCTTGGGTTCACTTTACTTCCATGGATGTCAGAATACGGGTCAAAAATAAAACCGTTTCTATGTCATGGTGAAGATCACTCAAACTAACGTGACTTTGGTTGCTCAATGTTTGTGGAGTTTGTGCTTTGAAAGCTATTTTCAGGCTTTGTCCTCTGTTCGACAGGCGGTGACGCAGAGCGCCGACTTGGCGCATAAGCCCCGCTCGATGACTTTGCATGACTACATGGCTGAGGGTGCCAAAGCCTTTTATAGTAAGCTGCTGGATCCAGCCGTCCGTGCGGATTGTCAGAAGGTGCAGGAAGAGACCAGCTTGGACGAGGTCGCCCTCCAGGTACTCGGCAAGTGTCTGTGTCGAATTTCTATGGGGGGTGGGCTGCCGCCAGATGGACAGGTTCTGCGCAGCTTGCTGCAAGGCTTGGTCCAGTACATTTGGATGGGGCCTCCTGAGAAACCCCACAAGGCCGAGTGCATGTCCGAGAGTGAGAGCCAGTGGAATTTGGCTTCTTCGAAATTAGCTCAGTTGATTTTGGGTGAAAGTGCCACGGGCAACGACAATTGCATAGAGTTGTTGCACAAGTACATTGGCGAAGTACAGGACGACTCGCGGTCAGTCCTCAGTCGCGACGCAGTCCTTAGTCAAGGCTCAGTCACCCTGAGCGGCATCCTCAAGATTTTGGAAAAGCAAAGAGGCTTCCTTTGCTTCGTCAATTCTGAGCTGGAGGCTTTGCTGAGACGAAGGAAAGACAACTACATCTCGGAAGAGGACATGGTGCAGTTGTTGGATGGCAGCAAAATTGGGAAGGCGACCTTTTCGGACACGAAGGTCGTCCCGCATCCTCACGAGTGGGCGGCCCTTGGATGTCAGTTGAATGTGTACTTGCGTGAAATGACGGGTGACAGCT